TAATTAATTAATATCGTGTATTGGAATTTACAATAATTTTTAAATATATACATCAAACCTTGTCAGGACGCAGGAGCATCTACACATATAATAAGTTGTAAGATAATTAACTACTACACAGAGCTCACTGTAACTGCTTGATTATATTAATAATTGTCAGCTGATCAGTTGCAATTATTAAATCATGCACTAATAAATATCTCTTTTGATTAGGCAAATATATATTTAACAAATTAACTCCATAACTAACAGATCCTAAATTTATATATAGTACTAATCATCCCACCAAGATCTTGTAAGATTTATATATATATATATATAAGGTTGCATAACTCAATTGAGAATTAAATATTACTTTTCTTCTATATATATAAATTATTTCTTACATGGCTCTAACCTGCGCTGGTTAATTAATAATTGAATTTTATTCATGAACTCCTTAAAACTAAGATGAAGCCGTATTAAAATGTGTATATCTCTCTAGAGCCAGCAACACTGATTCAGGCGACATGGTTATAACCTCTTTCGTGGTGGCCCTATGATGCAATTTTGTTATCTGATTGCATAAAAATATTAGGTACGAAGTCCGTATTCATGCGGACTTCTTGTACAACAGTGTTCTACACTGTGTACTCATGTGTATAACAGCATGCAATACTGTCGTGTAAGGAGTCCGCATGCTTGTGGATTACGTACCTAATATTCTCTCGAGAATCACGACAATACTTTTCCTATGGGCTGCATAATCGATGCACGATGCGCGTTGTGTGGCACTAGGACATTTTTGGTAATTTGTTAGGTTTGATTCCTACCAAATTGTATGAGTCCCTCAGCATGAGTATTATGTATTTATAATTATGTGAGAATTAAGCATTGAATTTGATCGACTAGAATCGTAGGGTGGCAAAATGATCAAAAAAATTGGATATTTAATAATGAAGTATATATGGTTTTATTTATATATTAATCTGAAATGAAATATGTAATCCTAAAAGGAGATGCAGGCTGGCATGAGTCGGTGATTTTGGGTTCAAACCATATATAACAATTTCACATATTTTAAAGATTCTGGCAGAATCTGAGCTTACAATTTTTAATTTTTAATTTTTAATTTTTAATTTTTTTATAATTGTGCACATGAGCTCGACCAGTAAGCCAGCAAGGCTGCACGATGATCCCACGAGGTGAACAAATTATTTTGTTTAAAACTGTCAAGAAAGCTACTAAACCTTTGGGCGCATATATTATTATTCTATATATATATTATTGAATAATAAATTGTCATGTGAATCACGCCCAAGAAATATGAAGTATGTAGAGGGAGGGGCTGGGAAAGGGAGGTAAAGGGGGGAGAGAGAGAGAGGGAGGAGATATCTCAAATTTGATTTATAAATTTACCCCTCAGATTCTCGAGAAAATATTATGTACAGCATCGAAGTGTCTGGATGACGACATAGATCGCACCACACCATTCTGCAAGCCGTGTGGTGAGATCCACGATCATCCCGACATCCTGTAATCCGGACATAATATTAATTGCTTCATGATTGCGAGCGCTCGGAGTGTGTTCATGAGTACACTGCTCTATATATTAACTATAACTCTTAACAGAGTACAGAGAAAGTTTAAAAGACGCAAGTTTTAAGAGCATCCTTGCAAAGCATTAATAAATAATCAAATTATTTTAGCCAAAACTTGGGCAGAGAGCAATTATGAGATGGATGGCAGGAAGAATCATCCGGCTGAATAATCAAATGATTATTGTGATAATTAACAAGATCTTTAATGTGGATGAGTGTTCCAAATGCAAAGTTGGCATGATTCAACCCTGTTGGCAAAGTTTGACTGCTGAATATCATCCTATACCGAAATGATAAAAGAGAAGAAAATTATAATAATGATAATAATAATAAAATAACTGCATGCCATTAAAGTTTAATAGTGTTATGTTAGCATTAATCATGCCTTTTTACTTCATTAAGCTGCCAAATTAGTCAAGCTTTATGGCCCCTTTAATATAATATTAATTTAAGAATATGTAAATGCAGGCTTTAATTATGAGATTCTTCCAACTAATAATCAAATAGATTAAATATAAAATTGTAACTGACGTAAATAAAGTACATGCACATGATTAGTGATCTTTTCAAAGACCATCATAGCTATATTGGCAGCAGCCCATATAATTATTTTATTAAAGTCTATTTTCATGTATATTCTTATATTTATATAGTTATATATCTCGTACTAAAACTTTCATATTTACACACATAACATTCAAATCTTTAATATTACATAAATATATCTTTCATGTATAAATTTAAAACACGAAAATGTCATATATGTAAATATGAAAGTTCTTAAGTGCTAGATATGGTAACCCGAAAGAATTGTGGGTTGGTATATACATTTATCAAGATGTATATTATATGGGGCCCATCATGAGACTTCATCTTTCTTACTAACTAACCTCTCATTTGCCACACGTGCCTCTCACGTGAGGGCAGTGGCACGCAAAGGTAATCAAATGCCAATTGATTGTTAGGATCAAAGAATTAAATAAAACATAATTAATTAACAATATTGCTTGGACAAATTAGCTTCTCAGAAGCTCTCTAATGTTGTTGATTTAAGATCCTTTTGAAATCATGGGGTCATCACTGCATATTGTGCTCTCACAATGGAGAAAAATTTGCGTACGTAAGACATACGCAGCGTTGCGTATGTCAGGTGGGTTACAGAGAGGGTATTGGGGGTTATATTCGCGTTGTACCTCCTGTACCATGCTTATAACTTACAAATATATGGAAACAGAAACACGGAACTTACTAGTTGCAGGGACGTTACAGAGGGGTATAACGCGGATATAACCCTTAATACTCTCCCTGTAACCTACCTAACGTAGCGCTGCTTACGTCTTACGTACCTAAATTTTTCTCCTCACAATGACAACTAATTCCTAGATTTGTTATATATATATATGACCTGTTGGTAGAGTAGTTTCTCTGAAGTTTGAAGGTCGTAAGTCCCCTCAGATCACGAGTTTGAATCCCTCCGTGTGTAGGATATGTATGATATTCGAATAATTTGCACACCTTGTCGCCCTCAGAGCTAGCGGGCATTGAGCCCATTAGGGTGGGTTGGGGATCTCATGCCCCTGTCCCATTATTTAATATATATATATTCATTATTTTTAATTAATGAATAGTTAATGTTAGAAATAAATTAATTGATGTCAGGATTGTTAATTAAGAGTTAGGTCTATGATTAGTTTATAATTAAGAAGAGTACGATTGTTGTTGGAAAGTGAGCTCATGAATTATGACAAAGATTACATGATTGCGATTGGAATTTGGGATTTAATAGATGGAGAGAGAAAGCAGGCACGAGTATGCGTCAGAGATTCGAGGAATTTATGAAGTTCGGAATAAAATGATATGTGGTTATCATTAAGCATCACATAATATTAATTAAATTTGTAGCTGATTTGATCATTAGGTTAAAGTAAAAAGGATTTGAAGATCCTTACTCATTTTAAATATATGTGATGTGATGCTTGATAGAAAATTTGTTGAGAAACACTAATAGATTATTGTTTTAGTATTGCATGAAGATTTAACACACTTAGAAGAAAATAACCAGTAGAGTCATCAGAAGTTTTCACGTGGAAAATCCAGAAAGAAAAAAAATCACGGGGACTGAACCACTTATAAAAATCTACTATAAGTTGATGGTTAAAAAGATCTCTTGTCTCACAGGCGAGAAAGTGTTATAAAGTTTTTCGAATTACAACATTGACGTGAGGATGAACTTGTTGCAAGGAGCGGTCGACAACCGATAAGCGGCGGCTGATAGGTGGTGGTCGATGACAGTAGGTAGCGGTCAGCGGTGTTCAACGACAGTCAGAGCGATAAAAGACTTCAGTTCCTTCTCAAAACTTTAAGCTCATCTCAAACCTTAAACCACCCTCCCTACTCATGAGAGTGATGTGAATCTACTTTGATCGCATGGCTCAGAGAGCTTCTTTCGATCGACGTTGTTTGATGGACATTTGAATGTCTTAATCAAGTTGAAAGCGAGCAATCACGAGCTCGTTAGATTCTTCTTATCGAAACACTTGATTTGAACAGATTCAACATTTGTTTGACCTTCCATACGTGTGCATAAATCTTCCAAAAGTGATGTGATGATTTCATTGAAGCTCAATTTGGTTCATATTAGATTAATATTGGTATCATTGAGTTCATCTCGTCAAGCCAGCCAGTTGATTTTAAGTTTGCTAAAAACATAGCTCTATATGTTTCTTAATTGAAATTTAAATGTTTTTTTGCTCAAAAACTTGCCTCAAGATTGTTCATATGATGCCTTGAGTTTCATATCGAATTATGAAGAATTATTGGAATCGTATTAACATGCCTTCAGTCAAAAATTTTCTTCTGATTAGTTGTTAAATAGTAATATAAAATGTACGAGGCTAAATGGTATTGTATTTTATTTTACAAAGTTTAAAGAGCAACTTTTACTTCATTTCTTAAATAATTATATGTTAAGCAGATTATTCTTCACACTGTAACATGCCCAGTTTCCAATGCAAGGGAGCTCTCACATCTTCACATAAAATTTTAAATGCCACACAATTTTTATGCATTCATAATTACATTCATACACTCAAATCCTCAACATTAAATCAAACATGACAATATCACTATCTTTTTTAAAAATGAAATATACCAAGTTTTTATAAGGATAAAGCTTAGTCCTTGCAACACCAATGATCACTCTTCTGACACTATTATAAATAAGCATAAAGCTTAGTCCAAATAAAATTGTAGATCAAAAGATGTTGCCCAACCAAACAATTAAGAGAAATATATCAAAAGTTGGCTCAACGAATGAATAACAAAGAACAGTACAAACGCATCTAAAACCCTCTTAAACTTGCTTTCCTGCAGATGTAAGCACAAGACTATACCTGCAATGAAGGTGTGGTGAAAGCAGAATGAATTCATTTTGTTGACAGTGCATATTTATAATTTACTGAATATTTTCCATAGAAGATGCTACAGCCCTTTCAAACTTAATCTCAATATGTGATACATATTAATGGGAAAATTTACAAGATTTTTGGTTGGGGAAGCAATAAGAAGAAACATTAAAATTCATTGTAAGACATTTCTCACCATTGAATTCATGGAAAGCATTTCATTCTCTGTAAGAAAAAAAAAATGGGGAAAGCAAAGGGTTAGGTTTCAAAATTGGAATTCAAAAGTCTATTATTATTATTATTATTATTAATATTATTCCATAACGAATAAATTTTGTATTTCACCTACCTGTCTCTCTATTTCGATTGCCGATTCAGAAAGTCTTCTCTTCAGAACCTTTTTCTCCCATTCACAGCTCTCCTTCTTCTCATCTTTACATAAGAGACAAGACGAAGCAAGTCAAGTTTATTTGTTTGGAATCAAACACCAAATAAAATTAGTCACCGCAATAAGAGGCAAGTTACTGGAAGCATCTTCCTCA